TGATTTAGTCCTAAATGGAGCTCAGGATCAGGTCCAAGAGGTGAATATAGCTGGACCGCTTGGTAATAGTGACCATGGTCACAACCCAATGGCCCCCTCCCTCAGGTCCCCTGGGGAGGAAGATCAGCATTGTATGTTGCTAACGCTGTTGCAAGCATCGCAAGGCATTTTGGGAAGGTTTAAAGGTGTGAGTCTGTAGTGGAAGATCCCTTTGCAGGTTGCGAGAGGCCAAAGGGGGAGGGAGGAAGAGAGCAGAGAACGGGTTAACTCGACACTTCAGCTGGCTTAGTCTGAAGATAAGACGCTGGCCCCTGTCCAAGGTCACGGCGAGAAATCTGCAGCTGCATTCACATCTTACCCAACCCTAGCCAGCCATGAGAAAAGGAGAACTAAGCTGAGCAGGACTTCAAAGAGTGCAAAAACAAGCAAGACGGCGAAGGCGAACGGGGGGGAAAAGCTGAGAAGGCCGCAGAAAGCCGGTTTGGACTGGTACAAAGAGCACTAGGAACAGAAGTCCCTGAATAAAATACCCCCAAAAGAACCCAGGACTTAAAAACCCACCCGAGAGCCAAAGCAAGTCGGAGATCAACAGCGGACCCCGGAAGACCTGCGCACAGGACAAGAACTCCCATCCACCCATCCCCCTCTTCTTCTTACGTTACACCCAGGCTTGGCCAGCCTTGTGTAGTGCGGGTGTGAGTATGAAAGTGGGTTAGGGCTTGGGGCACTAACGCTTTCTTCCTTCCTCTGAGTGACGTGGGGACCCCCCCCCCAGCACTCTCCGCTGTTATTTTATTATTTTATTAATAAAGCTTTAAAAATTAGTCACTTGGTGTGCTCCGCCATCTCCTCCCGTAAAGATCCTGTGGCCTCAGCCTGATCACCTGACGCCCCGGGCAGATTGGTAACATAAATCTGTCACAACCATAATATAATTAAATTTAATGTCTCTGTGGTGCAGAAAACACCACAGTGGTCCAACAGTGTAGAATTTAATTTCAGAAAGGGGGAGATACACAAAAATGAGGAGGTCAGTTAAACAGAAATTAAGAGGTACAGTGCCAAAAGTAAAATCCCTGCAAGCTGCATGGAAACTTTTAAAAGACAAAAAGACACCATAATACAGGCTCAACTTAAATGTATACCACAAACTAAATAACATAGTAAGAATACCAAAAAAGAGCCACTGTGGCTAAACAACAAAGTAAGAGAAGCAGTGAGAGGCAAAAAAGGCATCCTTTAAAAAGTGGAAGTTAAATCCTAGTGAGGAAAATAGAAAGGAGCATAAACTCTGGCAAATGAAGTGTAAAAATATAATTAGAAAGGCCAAAAAAGAATTTGAAGAACAGCTAGCCAAAGACTCAAAAAGTAATAGCAATTTTTTTTTAAAGTACATCAGAAGCAGGAAACCTGCTAAACAACCAGTGGGGCCACTGGACAATCGAGATGCTAAAGGAGCACTCAAGGACAGTAAGGCCATTGTGGAGAAACTAAATGAATTCTTTGCATTGGTCTTCACAGTTGAGGATATGAGGGAGATTCCCAAACCTGAGCCATTCTTTTTAGCTGATAAATGTGAGAAATTGTCCCAGATTGAGGTGTCATTAGAGGAGGTTTTGGAACAAACTGATAAACTAAACAATAATAAGTCACCAGGACTAGATGGTATTCACTGAAGGAACTCAAACGTGAAACTGCAGGACTACTAACTGTAGTCTGTAACCTATCATTTAAATCAGCTTCTGTACCAAATGACTGGAGGATAGCTAATGTGACACCAATTTTTAAAAAGGGCTCCAGAGGTGACCCCAGCAATTACAGGCCAATAAGTACCGGGCAAACTGGTTGAAATTATAGTAAATAACAAAATTGTCAGACACATAGATGAACATAATTTGTTGGGGAAGAGTCAACATGTTTTTTGTAAAGGGAAATCCTAGTGGTGTCCCTAGCCTCTGTTTGCCAGAAAGGGATGGATCACTTGATGATTACCTGTTCTGTTCATTCCCCCCCTGGCATTGGTCACTGTCAGAAGACAGGATACTGGGCTAGATGGACATATGGTCTGACCCAGTATGGCCGTTCTTATGTTCTTGGACAATACTAAATGCAGAGTTCCCTCCTCTGGCCTGCACCAGCCATATTGGTCACTTCTTCACCTGCTTATCCCAGGGTCAGCATGAAACTTACCTCCTCCCACTCAGGGCTATCATCTCAGACACTCTGCAAAACAGTGACTTTCACTCTGACATATGCATTTGTTGTCTACAAACTAGCTTTCTGTGACTCTCATTAAAAAACCTCAATTACTTTTTTATACTTCTCCTAGTAAACACTCCTCTCTCTCTCTCTCTCTGAATGTACAATCAAGCCCAACTTCTGGATGAACCATATCTTATTATCATTACTCACCCTCCCACGTGTTCAAAGAAAAGAGCAACTATATATACCTGTTTCTCTTTTTTCCCCTTCAGACTGATCAGATTTGGACCCTTAAATTTATTTTAATTATTGATAAACACCAGCTGCTGTGAATCAGCTGTGACAGAGAACCGGAAGGATTTCTCTGAGTCCCATCAGAATGACATCATTCTCTATTTGCTCCCAAATCACCACCCACTTGGATGTTTTATTCAAGCTGTGAAGACTTATTCAAATGTAATTTGTGGGCAAGAAGGAAACAAATCACTGAGAAAAGATATTAGACATATCAGGACATCAGATTCCTGCTTTAGCAGGGCCCCCACTACCCCTTTTCTTCTGTTAGTTCTTGAAAATCATTTTCAAAAGCAGAACCAATGGGGATGCAACAATGGGGATTGTTTGTAACCAAAATGTCAGTTTCAAGTTGTTCCTTATAACTTCATCACTTTTTGTTTTCTGATTTGCTTAGCTGTGTATGCTGGCTCAATCTTAGATATTAGCACCACTATCATGCTCTGCATATTAATATTATGAAAAACTTGCATTTTCTGCTAACTGTACCAATTTCTACTGAAAATAATTGCAAAATGAATAAGTTAAAAAAGTCCCATTTCTGGAAACATAAAATATTTCGCTTTAAAAAATCCATCATTTAAAAAAAAATCCAGCCCAAAATTCTGTTTTAAGAACCAATAGTGAAGGGGAAACAACAAATCTGGTCCAATTTTACAGGAATATTTTCTCCTGTTATTACTGGATAGTAATGAAACTATGAATCTAGATTGATTTTTTGAAGTGTCTGTTTAGCTTTTGCTTACTTAAATTTAAAACTATAAATAAACCTGGGACAAGTCTCTACACCCTCTGAGGGCAGGTCCTCAGTTAGTATAAATTCCCATAGCTCTATTGACTTCAGTTGAGCCTGACCATTTACATCAGCTGAGGCTCTGCCTCGTGGTGTCCAACTTTTTCAAATCTTATTTCAAGAAGATTAAGGGCCCACAATCAATATTCTGCCCTGTTTGCTACCTTTACACTGCTCATATAGTTCAAAGGGAGCGGAAACCAGCACCACCAGAAAACAGGTCCTCTGTGGGGATACCCTTGGCCTGGGGGAGTCCTGAATAGGAACAGCTCAGAGTGGGTGTACACTTCCCTCCTGTCAACCTGTGGGGAGGAGAAGTGAATGGGATGCTCCACGTTCTGGCTATCACCACCTACTGTATTGGTCCCTAGAGAACTGTTGCCAGTTAGCACATAGTAAACATGGCCCAGACTGCTAAAATCTGCACTGGACCTGGGCCACTGAATCTGTCAGCTGTACCCATTTGTTGGCTCTCAGCTCTCTTGGGCGTCCGTGTGTAGAGATTCAGATTTGCTCTCCCTCCAATCTCCTTCAGCCCCAATTCTTCCCCCAACCTGAGGCTAGTGGTTGGAGAGCCTGAGAGACTATTTACTGGGTCAACATTATTCACACATGGAATTCCTTTAGGGTTAAAAGGGGAATAATGCCACAGCCATATCAGGTGTGAATGGAGAAGGAAGGCATGCTGAGCAGCCAGCACTCCCCCTCTTCTCCTCTACATATCTTCCTGATGTGGGGCCCCTTTGCTTGAGAAAGAGAGAGAGAGAAGATCAGGGCACAAATAATCTTGCCAAATATAGAAGATACAACAACGATGCACATCTGTATCCACTGTCTGAAAAAATGTACATTTAGGTTTTAATCTCTTTTTAGTGAACCATAAAATAATTGTCAATGAAAAATCTGCTTAAGATTCTTCTAATGAACTCTCACAAGTGTTGCACTATTTACAGTGCACCTGAGATACCATCTCTTCCTGTTATCTGTCCAGGACCTCCCAAGACCTCCCAGGGCCTTGCATTCAAAATCTGTCACAAATTTACTCGACAGGTTCATAAACCTTACTTTGATAAACCTAAGCTTTGAGTTTGAAAGACAATTCTGAACCAGGACAGTTTCACGTGATTATCCTTTTCTTTCTCATGAACATTTCTCACAGCTTTAGGGCCAAAGTCTAAGCTAGAGTAAATAAAGTATAGCTACACTACACTGAAATCAATAAAGATACACTGATTTGCACTAGCTGAGGATCTGGTCTCTAGTCTATATCCATTATAAATCTAATTGGCTGCTTGGCTAAAGAAATTCTCTATTTCTGGCAGCAAAACAACTTGGTCTGTTGAAACAGCTCAGAAATCACATTTCCATATTGTATCTTATATGTTAAAGCACTCATATCTGACACTGGTGCTGATTGAATGTCAAAGGGTCTTTTTGTAATATAAATTACAGTTTTAGTTGCTATGGGCAGTTACCATGAATGCATGACTTCTGTACCCTTTATATAGCACTGGTTTCAAATCATTGCTGAAGTTTACAGAGCAAAAGTTATTTTGTTAAGTTCACTTTGGTTGGGCTAACATGTTTGTCTGGAAAGGAACTGAGGAGGAAATCATTCGAACTACTTTATAATTTTTACTACTGTAAAGTACGGATTTGAAAGTGAACTAAATCATTTCCATACCCCCTATTGATATCTCTCGACTCTTACCTGGACAAGGCAAGATGTTGCATTCCTGGTACTCCAGAGATGGGCCCAGACACGGAAGACCCCCATATTTGGGCTCAGGATTGTTGCAGACACGTTTGCGGTTGCGAATACCTCTGCTGCAGTCTCGACTGCACTGAGACCATGGAGTCCATGGTGACCAGGCTCCATTAATTGTATGAGCGGAGTATCGTCCAGAACGCAAGAAATCCCCTGACAGTCCTAAAGAATTAAGATTGAAAGCACAACATGGGATTAAAGGCTATCACCCTGAAAACAAACGTTTTGTCTTCATATTTAATCTTAATCTTTTAATAAATATTTTTGGTACTGTTCCAGATTTTATTTTTCATTGGCTACACAACCCCGTAATTCTATTTCACTACCTTACCTGACAGAAATCCCATAAACCCTCCTATGGTGTCTGCAGCTGCCATTAAATCACACTAGAAATGAACCAATAGTGATAACTCTGCTCAAATTTTAGAATCAAATAATAATTTAATGAATTTCCATGAAAAAGTCGTATTGTGAGGAAAAGTATTTTCCCCATTTAAAATTACACTTTTCAGATTCTTCTTCACTCAGCTGAAGTGCTAAAATACACTCGAGCATGGCAAGTAAACCATTCTCATACACAATGAGAATAGTGTGCTTCTTGGTTAAATCAGCCAGCAGGAAAATGAAAACACGTTTCAAACCTTTTCTAAACTTTTTTCCTTGTCTGTTATCTTTTAAAGTGAATTTAGTGCTAAGAAAAGACGCCAGATTAAACACTGCTGGAGTCTGAAGTCCATGATTTATTCACAGAAAAGGTACAGTGTAGGCAATGGGTGTGGAAGCTTGTTAACAGCAACACTGCAAAATATGCCTCAATCCCCACCTTGGAAAAATCACTTCTAAAGGTCATTTCAATGCCATTTTAGGGATAGATCCTGCCTGGGAAGGAACTCCCCCAAAAGTACTCAGCATAGCGCTTAACTTCTGATCCTGTGAGCTGTAGCAGAACTGCTCAGCGACTGTGTACATCTGCAATGTACGGCAGTGATATCAGCCTCTGACTATATTAGGGGAATTCTTCTGAAGTTTCCCAGCATTACTAACATGGTTCACCTCTATTAATATTAGCATCATTGGGAGCCCTACTGTAGATGGATCATTGGCTGCTGCCACCATTTTAAGTACCGGATTGATTAGAACTGCTCTGAGCAGGCTAGATGACACCGTGCTTAAAACAGCTGTAGGAGCTAGGAGCTTGTCTACACTAGGGCTCCCAATATTGCTAACGTAAGTGAAGGTGAACCATGCCATCAATACTGGGAAATTTTTGAAAAATGTTCCTAGAGTAGAATGACTCACATTCAGGCTGTAAACTCACTCTCTTTGGGAGAGTTAAATAGTGTTAAAGTAGTAACAAGTATGTTGAATCAACTAATAAAAATATATTATAAGATTCACAACTGATATTGAGGAGATGTTGCCCTCTAATAATCTTAAACTCAAATCATACTAATGCAAGTACCCTAAGCAAATGGAATGTAACAAGAACTACATTCACTGTGTCCAGCGGGCTTCACTCCAATCCAGGGCATGAGATCTTTGCCTGCAGTATAAAACCCCGTCCACAGTGAATCGTTTGTTAACTGAAACAGTTGTTTTGTACCAGTGGAAGCACAAACAGTTCAGTACATCCACAGTGGCCATGCTGAATTATGTTAAAAACACCTGCAATTTTGCCGTGTGTCTACACAAATTGCTCTGCTATACCAGTTCTGAGGCAATGAACTCCTGGACATGATTAGCTGAAATAATATTAAAAATACAGTACCTTTGTCCTGTCTCCACCACAGCTTCAAACATTAGTAACACTGTTACACCTGCACTTTGATGCACTCTACTCAATACAATTACAATATTCCTAGTATAGATGGGGCCTTAGAGACTTTTATTTAGTACACAATAACAGTGGGCAATATTGAAATAAATGATGCAGTGACAGACAAATAGGTTTGTTTTTTTCTTTATTTTGTGATGAGAAACTGTTCAACTCAGCTAGCTCAGCTGGTTAGAGAGTAATACTAAATCCCCAAAGCTGTGGAAAAATCCTCCCACTAGGCAATAGCTGAGAACTATTATTTCTCCCCCTGAAAGAGCTCCTATTGTGCAGATTTTATGAAACCTGATGTAGATTTGAATCCAGAATGGTAGAGAGCATAGGGAAACAGTGTGGAAGTTAAGAACGTTGCTTCAACTCCTAGCTCCATCGGTGACTTTCTTTAGGAGGTTGCCCAGCTGAGAAATCCCAGGTTTACACACATGATGAATGGGGCTTAGAAGAGGGTACCACAACCCTCTCCTCCCCCCCACCACACACACTTCAACCCCTGAATTCCAAATGGTAGCACTTTAACCAAAGGGCTAACAGAGGCATAAATCATGGCAGAGCTATTCTGATTTAGATTACATTGGTCAGTATTTCTCTAGATAAAATGTTGCAACACTGTATCATTTTACAATAGCATTAGAATGAACTGGAGATCACTCCGAGGGGGGAAATTTTCAGTCTTAGGGGAAATGAGTGACCTTATTTCACATTTTTTCATTAACATACCAGATTTCTTGGAGTAATGCCAGAAAAATTCTTTAAGTGAAACCTCAGAGGGACCTTAGCGCCGAAACATAATAATGTACAAAAGAACTGTTTTGGGGGAAGTTCTTGCAACAGCTAACATTGTCATGTGTCTCATTCTTTCCAGGGTGTAAAAAGAATATGTTACAGTTAGCACTCTGTCTACAGCTTTACAACAACTTATATGGGGATGGGATTCACAAAGGTATTTAGGTGTCCAACTCATTGATTCCAATGAGAGTCAGGTGCCTAAATCCCTTTGTGAATCTCATCCATAGCATTCACAGTCTTGTTGAGCTTTCCCTTTAGACAAAGGCTACAAATTACAACAACTGACCATGTTACTTTGAATTCCAGACATATAGTATAATACAGAAATATAAGAAAATGAAATTAACTAGAGTGTAAATATTGGCCACTGCTGATTATTTCAATTCAGTTTCCAGCAAACAATAGGCATTATCTGTCTCCTTGTAAATGTGAAGATACTATTTTACAATGACATTATTAAGGGAGTGAAATTTTTCCACAATTCCATCATATTCCTACTTTTTACACTCTGCATCTATGTGAGATGCATTACATTCTGGCCACCCACGTGTGACGTTATTGACATGAACTGTGACTGTATAGATCGTTGTTGCAACCAAGGTCCTATAGTTGTACCAAATCTTGTACAAAGAAGATCAAGTAAGGTGTCTATAGAAAGGTTGTAATTTGCTGGTTATAATTATGCTGTCTGTATGTGTGTATCATTTTTGTATTTGAAGTTATAAATATTGGCTATGTACTTATCTGAATGTGTTTGATTCTAAGTAGCCTCAGTAAAGCATTTGGTCAGCTTCTTGAGAAAGGACTATTCTCAGTAAGTGCCCAATCAAGAAACACTTAACTGACAATGGACTTTGGGAGACGCCAATCCACATCTGAGCTTTCCTGGAACCTTCAAACTAACATGTAAACAATGGCATCTGCCGGAAAAAAGCTGAATCATTCATGGACATGTGACTTGCCCAGGTGGCTACAAACTCCCTCTTGTTGCTGTGACTTTGCACAGAAGAACAAAGGAGTTTCCACCCACAAGAGAGATAATATAAAAGGCCCTGGAAGCCTCTCCATTTTGTCTTCAGCTGGCTCAAGAGATGGCCTCTCCACCCCAAAGAGATGCCTGAAAGTAACTGGAACAAAGGACAGTAACTGCGGGGGTGTGAGTGATTGCTGGACCCAGGCCATAAACTACAACGTTGGTCTGAAAAGGATTGGGCCCAGACTAGGAAGGAGTCTAGTCTGTGAAAGAAGCTTATTGGGACATCTCTGAGGGTGAGATGTATCTGTATTCAGTTTCCTACTGTATTAGGCTTAGACTGGCATGTTTTGTTTTATTTTGCCTGGTAACTTACTTTGTTCTGTTATTACTTGAAACTACTTAAATCCTACTTTTTATACTTAATAAAATCACTTTTTGCTTATTAACTAACCCAGAGTAAGTAATTAATACCTGAGGGAGCAAACAGCTGTGCATATCTCCCTATCAGTGTTATAGAGGGCAGACAATTTATGAGTTTACCCTGTATAAGCTTTATACAGAGTAAAATGGATTTATTTGGGGTATGGATCCCATTGGGAGCTACGTGTCTGGGTGCTAGAGACAGGAGCAGTTGCTAAGCTGTTTTCAGTTAAGTCTGCAGCTTTGGGGGCGTGGGTCAGACCCTGGGTCTGTGTTGTAGCAGATTAGCGTATCTGGCTCAACAAGACAGGGTTCTGGAGGCCCAAACTGGCAGAGAAAATGGGCTCATAGGTAGTCTCAGCACATCAGGTGACAGTCCCAAGGGGACCGAACCCGTCACACCATAGCTCATATTTTTCATAGATTTCAAGGCCAGAAGGGACCATTGTGGTCAGCTAGTCTGACCTCATATATAACACAGACCACAGAATGTCCCTGAATGAATTTGTGTTTGGACTAAAGCATATCTTTTAGAAAAACATTTCATCTTGATTTTAAAATTTCCAGTGATGGAGAATCCACCACTATGCTTGGTAAATTGTTCCAATGGTTAATGACCCTCACTATTCAAATTTATACCTTATTTCCGGTTTGAATTTGTCTAGATTCAGCTTACAGCCACTGGATCTTGTTATACCTCTGTCCGCTAGCCTGAAGAGTCTATTATCAAGTATTTGTTACCCATGTAGGTAATTACAGACTCCTTAACCTTCTCTTTGTTAAGATAAATAGACTAAAAGGGATGTTTTCTAATCCTTTAATCATGCTCATGGTTCTTTTCTGAACCTTCTCCTAATTATCAACACCCTTCTTGAATTGTGGACATCAGAATCAGACACAGCATTCCAGCAGCAGTTGAACAACTGCCAAATACAGAGGTAACATAACCTCTCTACTCCTACTCAAGATTCCCGTTTATGCATTCAAGAATCACATTAGCCCTTTACACCACATCCTTGCACTGGGAACTCATGATCAACTGATTATCCATCACAATCCCCAAATCTTTTTCAGAGTCACTGCTCCTCAGGATAGAATCCTTATTCCTTGATGTATACATTTACATTTAGCCATATTAAAATGTAT